CAAGTTTGCAAACTCTACAAAGTACAGTATGAACTGTACCTTGCTAGTTTTTCAGTTAATCAATTTTTTTCATATCCCACAAAAATGAGCAATTTGGGGACAGATTCTCTAAATGAGAATTATACCACCTATATAAAATAAATGTATCTTTCCTCCTTTTTCGATCTTTTGGAAATAAATGTGTTGATACATTGGTGTGTCTTGAACATGTCATCGGTAAAAGACCCCAGTTTCATGTATTCTTATTAGTAGCTATATCTTCCCCCAAAGGAATTCAATAATAGAAATGGACTTAATTTTTAAAATATGGACAAATGTTGATGGGAGTAAGGGAAGATATGAAAACATTTCTTTTACCATGTATCTGTGGTGTGCACGGCATTGTCAAATACACTGTCTCATCGATGTCTCAGAGTGGACGGAGTGCCTCCCCGACCTGTATTGTTAAGGGACACTTAGAAAGGTTCTTAGCCGGCAGTGCCAGACTCCAGCTGTGACCTGGGAGCAAGCTTGCTTCCAGAAGCTGTGCCCTTCCCGCGTGGCTGGGGTGGTCGCCATAGAAAACGGGTTGGGGATTTGGAGTGTTGTAGAAACCTGAATCCCATCGAGAGACCAAGCGACACTCAGAGGGTTGGAGAACTCAGGTTTATCACGCCGGCGGGCGCAAAGGAGTTAACACTCCAAGCTCTGGACCCCACCTGTAGGTTTACACAGGCTTTTAAGGGTTTTAGGTTTCGATTATGTTCATGCTGTATGCAAATGAGGTGTTAGAAATGGACCAATCAGGAGTGAGCTTTCAGGAACCAATGGAATTTTAGGGGTAAATGCAAATGAGGCGTTAGAAATGGACCAATCAGGAGCGAGCTTTTGGGAACCCATGGAATTTTAGGGATAGGTTTCGTTTTCCTGGAAGCAAGCCATTTTTCAGAAGTGCAAAAGCAGGAAGGCAGTGGCCCTGCCTGGGAGGTCTTGCTGGCCCCTTTGTGGGTTTTGCCCCTTCAGGAGCAAATCCATTTTTAAATGGGGCCACATTTTCATAGGAAATTGTGAGGGGAAGGCTTCTTTGAAGTTTTATGCTGATTAAATAATATGAAATTTTGCCTGTTTTAATTACATGTGACAAAAAAGAATAAGTCAAGTGGGAAGACAAGGAGTAATTTTTCTGATAAAATTAAACGACAGTGGGATACGGCCTCTTTGCTTGGTGTTGAGCGGTCATTTCTGCAGAGTTCCGCACGGTGCCCTCAGCTTTCCCGAGGACCTCCAATCTGCTGGTGCTCACATCGCCCCCCTGTGTGGTCCCTGTGCTGTGACTGTCCCAGCCAGTCATCTCTCCAAATATAAACTTGCCCAGCCTTCCCCATGAGCATCTCACCCATCAGGAGCTCCTCGCTGGCAATCCCACAAGTGTCCCAGGCTGCACAAAACCCCAATTCTCGCCCCAAATTTGCAATTCCAGTTTGCGATTTAGGCCGTCCGCCCGGCCTAGTGTTCCCATGCTGTTCCAGTCTGGACACAGACAGGCATTATGGGGGAAAAAAACACTAGACAGAAAGGGTATTTTGAATACGGTTCAGTTTTATCCGTGGTCAGCCATTAGCGAGTGTTTTTCGTCTCTGACGATTCGGGTTTTCCTAGGAGCTAACAGATTGTGGAAAAAAGGAGAGCTCCCGGGTGTTCCACTGCCTGAACAACCCTGGGGAGGGATGAAGGCCGCCCAACACTTGCAGGGCTGGGACCGCATCTTCTGACTGCACGGAAGGAGGTCTCAGACCCTCCAAACCCAGAGGACCGGGGTAGCGATCAGAGCCCTTTCAATGAAATAGAAAATGATGAGACCCCGTTGCCAGTGTGTGCCCCCCCCACCGAGCGCCTGTCCCTTCATGTATGTGAAGTGCACGCTTCATCCTTCTCCAGCCATGAGTGTCCGTCTCTTCCATTTAATGGGAAAATTTCATTTTCTTGTCGGTGTTCATAATGACAAATGTTGCAGTCCTTCAGAGCCAATTTATTCTGCCTTTTCGACCACCATCGTGTAATCAAAGTAACAGACGGTGGTCTCGCCGTAGAAGGGAGCCCAGCTGCTGAGCCACATTAAGAGAAACGGTGCCTCGGCTTCGTGTACATTTCAGGTGTGCGGAAGCTCCTGGCTTTCTGGGTCTGCCATCATCACCCCGATTTGCTAGCACGCCTGTCTCCACTTGTCCCCCTACCCCCCAGCTCCCTAATCAGTATGGCCCAGGAGATGGTTCTAGCCTCGGCCCCCTCTGCTCCCCGCCCGCATGGACGTTCCAGAGCCAGCTGTCAGACAGCTGTCACCTGTATCAGAAGTAAGAGCCGAGAACCTTTCCGTAATGAAGACCACAAACCGCCCGCTTTGCCCAGTGTTAGAACAACCCCTGTCTCTCAAACACACTTGCTGAGCGAACGAGCAAACGAATCCATGGATAATAAGTAAATGATGAACCAGCATTGCGATGCACTGTGATTCTGATGCAAGTCATTTGACCCAGGATGCCTCACAAGTTAGTAAGAACTTTCCGAGAAGAACCAATGCTAAAAAAGTCAAATGATCAAGACGTGTATTTCTCGTTTTCAATCCCCACAGCTGTGACGGGCCAGGTCTCAAAGGCTGTGCAGAGAACCGGTAAGTGGCTGGGCTCTGACCAGAAATGAACAAAGGGACCCCCGGTGAAGGTCACGCTGCCCTCTGCCTTGGCAGGTCCTCACCCCTCCCCTGGGCCAGCCTGGGCACCCCTGGGAGACCCCCCTGCACACTGCTGGCCGTGCTTCGGTGGGAGACCCGGGGGCCTGAGTCCTGGGGCGCTGGTCCTCACTGCCCAGTGCTCCACTTTGTCTGCAGCCCGTCTCTGACTTCTGGGGTCACCAAGTTTTGCTGGCTCCTTCTTCTCTTCCAACGTCTCTTCTTTTTCCTCCCTGACCCAGGTGGCCTTACGACAAACCTGGGTTTTGGTGAGCTTTCTGGGTTCGATGACAAAGCTCCCGTGGCTTCCTTTAGCATTTCAGCTGTGATCGGTTTCTCATCATTGCCTGAAATGTTGCACTGAGACAAGCAGAAATGAGAATTCTTGCTCAGACTCACCAGGAAACAGTGGTGTCACCAATAATAATGTTTGTCGAGGAATCGGAATGATATAACACAAGCCACGCACCAGCCTTTCCTCACGTCCCTCCCAGGACACTAGCCAAACTTCCAGGCACCTCCGCCATTTCTAGTAATATTTACCAAATTCCTTCCCCCAGCAACCTTTCTCAAGGTCAGTCAGCTCACCATCCCACCCGCCTTCAAGTGAAAAACATTAAAAACAAATAGGGCGGGTTCCCAAAGATAAAGATTTCCTTTTATGAGGACACCAGCGAGCTCCGTCTGGTCTTCATCCTACAATCAATGTCTTAGTGATGGCGATGTCCACCTTGTCCCACCTTGAAACCAGCCAATGACCGTTCTTTTGTTATATTTACTCCTTTCAATTTTTTCTTCCTCTTTTCTCTCGCTCGCCTTTTCTTCCCACGGAACGCGTAACTCTGTACAGATTTGTCTTTAATAGCTTCCACTGCTCCCTTCAAAATGGTTAAAACCCATTAATTCAAACTGCATTCACTGGGGAGACGGGGTAACTCAGGAGATGACTTTTGCACTCGCTAAGAAGAAAGTGTAAATCTTATTTACATGACGTACGCTCGACCCACTTAGGAGAAATTTGTAAAGATGCTGGCACATTTGATACGCAAATGGTGCTACTAATTTAATCTTTAATATTAACATTTCTACCTGAAAAAATAAAGCTTACCAGAACCTCAGATGGCACAGGTGCTTAAAAAGAATGGCTTCATAAAGATTCAAAATGCAGAAATCTGCCAATTCAGATGGCTCTTTCCCCAGAGAGAACCCGAGTTTTGAGGGTTGGCTCCCCCGAGCTCCGTGGGAGGGAGGGGAGGACTGGAGAGGTTTGCGGCTGGCCTGGCGACGTGGCTCATCCAGGCCAGCAGTGTGCTGTGTGTCAGAATCCTGCGAGGCCTCGCCTCCTCCAGGTCACCCCTACAGTATTTCACACGCCGTGGTCCCATCTGGAAAGCCAAGGGTCCCTTCAAAAGTCCCAACATTGTTGGAAGGGTCCCTCCATCCAGCCTGGCCAGTAGACACCACGCCTCTCGTGTGTGTGTGTGTGGAGTGCCACACTGGAAATGCACGGAGACACAAATTCATATGAAAAGTATGGCTGAAGTCAGTTTTTTCCAATTATTTGCCTTCTTTATCTGCGGATGAAAATATAATCATTATCTGGAGAAGTCCAAATGCCACCTCAATTTAAAAAATGTGAACAAGCAGGGTAGGGAGGCTCCCACACTGGAAAAGTCGGAACCCTTGCCCTGGGACTGGTCCTCCAGTCTGTGCCTTCTCTCCTTCAGCATCTGCGCCGTACCCCACTTTTCTGAGATGGTTTTAAACGATGCCACAGTGTCAGACCATGCGGGAAACCATATGAAACAGAGTCTGCCCGCAGATCTCACCCACCCTGTGCGTCTCCCGCTCCTTCCAGGCCCAAGATTCCGTCCATCGCCACCGGGATCGTGGGGGGCCTCCTGATGGTGGTGGTGCTGGCCCTGGGGGTCGGCCTCTTCCTGCGCAGACGCCACATTGTCCGCAAGCGCACGCTGCGCCGGCTGCTGCAGGAGCGCGAGGTGAGCGCGTGCGCAGTCGGGGGGGTCCCCTCCCCCATCCCTTACCCCTCCCCCTCCCTCCTCCTCCCATTCTCCCTTCCCCCTCCCTCCCCCCGCGGGGAGCAAGGTGGGGAATGGCAGGTGCAAGCTTGCATTTTAAATGTCATCGTGTTATTATACTTTGTTAATTGCAATTTTAAAAAAAACATTAAGAACCTCCGAATGTCCAGTTATGACCATCACATGTACATTTTGGTACGTGGATGCAGGGAAACGCAGCTGTTTCTGGGATGAGTCCTGCAAGATACAGGGCTGTGGCCGCCGGTGTTCAATACGGTGCCCCCCGTTCGCCCCCCGGCCCCCCAGCGCGGCCCCGGCGAGGAGGAAGGCTGGGGCACAGACACCTGCTGTTTCTGTGAAGGCCCTGTGGTTCCGGAGATGTTAATTTGGGAATATGCCACTGTCCACACCTGTGGCTGCTGCTTTTTGAGCGCTGTCTGTGACCAGCGTTATCCCTGACTCTGTGATTCCCATGAACAGGGTCCTCTGCCAGCATCCGTGTTCCCCCATGTGTCGGAGGCCGGGTCCCTGGGAGGAGGGACCCCACACCTCCCCCCACCACGGCAGCTCGGAGCATCACGGCACTGGCACGTGAGGGGGTCACGACCACCACTGTCCTCACCCGGGCTTTCTCAGTCCGGCTCATTGGCCTGGAGACAGGAGTGGAAGTGGCACTTGAGCAGCGGAGCTGCTGGCTTCACGGAGGCCTGCAGCCGCGGTCGGGCCCCTCCTGCCAAGCCTCTCGTGACGTTGCTTAGAGCAGGCGGCCCCGTCTCCTGAGTGAGCAGGGCCATTCCCGGTGCCCAGGCACAGGTGCACGGGGGTCCCGGCACATCTGGACCCGACAGCCCTCCCGGGGCTGGTGGCCTCAGCTCTTCCCCTGTCCCTCCCAGCTGGTCGAGCCTCTGACACCTAGCGGAGAAGCTCCCAACCAAGCTCTCCTGAGGATCCTGAAGGAAACAGAATTCAAAAAGGTCAAGGTGCTGGGCTCCGGCGCGTTCGGCACAGTGTACAAGGTGAGCCCCCCGTGCACCGAGGCTTCGGGGCCCGGCTCTGGTGGGGGAGCCCCCCTCGGCCAAGGTCTTTGTCATGGTCTTTCTGCCACTGAGAGTTTGGGAAGCACCAATATTTTCCCCAGGTTGTCCAGAGGAAATCTGTTATGGTGACAAGTAAGTGGTCCGCTGAGACCTGTACTCAGGCACAGACATTTTCAGGGACTGCAGCTCGCGGGCTGGTGGCACACGTGAGTCTGAAAGACGGCCACTTATCACCGCAGGACAGCGTGGGAATAAAGTCCAGCTCAGAGCAGCTTCCTTGTCATTTCTTTTTCTACATGCTCTTTGCCTAAATTCAGATTTCAGTTCGGCCTGGACCCAGTATCTCAGAATTCTGGACAAAGTGACATGGTTAATGTAACGGCTCTGGTCCCGGGAACAGGATGGGTAAAGAGATACTGATGTGTCGTGACTCTCGACACCTCGCCATTTAGAGCGGGGCGCCTAATGACGCCCCACCAGCCCACGCGTCCCGCGGTCCTGTGTGACAATTGCCAGCCAGCGTCTCTCCCTCTCTTCATCTCAGGGACTCTGGATCCCAGAAGGCGAGAAGGTTAAAATTCCGGTCGCGATCAAGGAGTTGAGAGAAGCCACGTCTCCGAAAGCCAACAAGGAAATCCTGGACGTGAGTTTCTGCTTTGCTCTCTGGCTGTCCCGCGGCTGGCGGCACATTGCTCTGTTTCAGGCTTTTCCCACCACCACATTTTCAGTGGTCGCTGCTCCTGTCTTCTCTCCTTGTGGCTGAAGTTGGTGTAATTCCGTCTCACGGGGAGGACACCCCTCTTCCATTGAATTATCGCCCCCAAAAAGGATGGAAATTTGCTGTCCCCAGGCATCCACCAGGGGCTGCCTGCCTGCTAGTGGCTTTCCACCTGCTCCCAGTGAGCCTGTGGGGGTAAAGTTGTGCTCGGCAGGCTCTGGATGGAGAAGGGGAGGCATCGCGTGGCTGGGGTAGGCCTCCAGCCCGGTTCCTTCTGACTCTTGAAACGCCTGCTCATTTTGTGCCACAACTTATCTCATCTGTGAAATGGGTTTTTAAAGGTGCCTCGGATTAACCATGTGGTGTTGCTCACCTTCCGTGCTTTCTCTGAGAGTAACTAAATGTTATTTCTAGTGTCTGCTGATGGCTGCGAGTCTTGGAAATATTCTACAAGATCATTGTTATGTGTTTTCCCTTTCGATTCTGCTGAACTTTGTCCACCTTCTCTGGACCCTGACTGTGCACTCTTAGAAAGAGGCTGGATGAAGAAGGGGGCCATTCTGGAGTCTGGCAGAACCCACTGCAAGATCCCACCCTCAGGGTCCCGGGTTGACAGCACCGGCCTCTGCTTGCTGTGGGTGGACGTCCCAAGGCAGAGCCAGAGAAAGAGGAGGTGGAGGGGCTCAGCAGTGGATTAGGGAAACAGTCCAAAAAAAAAAAAAAGAAAGAAAGGAAAGAAAAATGACTGCCTTTACTGACTCAGAAATCTAGAGAACTTAGTTCATCTTAAAACCAGGAGGACAAAGCCAAATGCAATAATCTTCACTCTTGTAGCTAACCCACAAAATGTGCGGTAAGCAAGCCAACATGGACCTTTTTTTTAACTGAGTTATAGTCAGTTTACAACGCTGCGTCCATTTCTGGTGCACAGCGCAGTGCTTCAGTCACACATGAATGTACATATATCCCTTTTCATATTCTCTTTCACCGTGAGCCACTACAAGATCTTGAATATATTTCGACCCGGGGCTTTTTTAAAACGTGTCCAGATGCAGTGAGTTTCCCAGGGTAAACCCTCTGCACCTCCGTTTCCTCCAGGCAGCCTCCCCTGACTTCACTGCAGCGGGAAAGTCTCTCCCCAGTACTTTCTGCACGAAAGATGACGCGTTAATACAGTGCGACAGAAACTCTGACACCTTAATGAAATACTCATCAAACCAATTTACCTTTCGTTGTAATGGTTTATGTGTTAAGGTGGAGGCTGTTGGCAAACTGTCAGCTCCTGTTTCCACAACCCCACGAAGTACAGCAAACAGTCAGTTTGCAAAGGCCCTTCACTTACATCCTTCTACGTTGTTCACCTGCGCTGCTCAGAAGGAAATCCGTTCTGCACGATTTGCTTCCCGAAATTCACTTTTCACTCGTTGAAGGCGTCCTGGCCACTTCCAGTGGGCGGCGCTGAGATGTGAAATTTCAGCATCTGCTGTGCGGAGTTGAGGGCGGTTTGGAAGACAGATGCTGGGTTTTGGGGAAGGACGGAGTCTCAATGCAGAGGGCCCTCCGGGACCCCTCAGACTGGAAGAAATCTGCTTTTATGGGGGCAGGGGTGGGGTGGGAGGGAGAGGAAGGGGAGCCTTTCCAAAGTTCAGAGTTCCTGTTCTGCCTTCTGCTGTCTCTGTCCTGCCCCCCGTCTGTCTCCCCTCTGTTGTTTTTGTGTCCTGTCCGCCCTGGTCTCTGTGTCCTCTCACACCCCTGTCGTGGCTGCTCCTTGAGCGCCGGCAGCCTGAGGCCCCCCTTGCGGCTCCCGATGCCCCCGTGGGGTGGGGTGGGATGGGGAGCTGCCCCAGAAGCCGGCCCGCCGAGGGCCAGTCTCAACAAGGAGTTGAAAAGCCGGTTAATCCCGGGGCAGGGCAGCCCGTGGGTCTGAGCCTGTGCTTTGAAACACTCACAAGCAGTGGGAACCGGCCCCCGGGACCCTGACTCTTGTTCCTGAACCCAGGCCAGCGCTGAGGTCCATCCATCCCATCCGGAGCGGCTTCGTTAACTGGTAAAGCTTGTGCAATGCCGAGGCCACCTCTCAAGGTGGACAAATGCCTCTTCTGAAGGTGTTTAAAACCCGGTGGAATCTTTTCCCCCAGTTCCTAACGTGAAATAGAGTTGGACTAAACGAGTTGGACTTTCAAGGTCACCGAGCCTCGAGGCTCTCGCGCCGTGTGACTCTGGCCTCTGACCTCAGCCTTGGGGACCCCCCCACC